AACGGCAAAGGAAGACCTTTCTCTCTGTCTCTCTCTCTCTCACACTGTGCACTCTGCCTGTCAAAAAAAAAAAAGAAAAAAAAATATTATGATTCATAAACAATGAGACAGCACAAGCTCTAAGAATGGTATTGATGAAGACTGTAAAAACATGGAAAGAGGGGTTTTTTTTGGATGCAGTAAATAAACAAACAAAACTAAAAACAGAATAGGGTCAGCATTGTCACACAGGGGGTTAAAGCCACCACATACAATGATGGCAACCCATGTGTGTGCCATTCTGAATCCTGGCTGGTCCACTTTCAATCCAGCTTCCTGCTAACGCACTTGGTAAAGCAGAGGAAGATGGCCCAACTACCTGGGTCCCTGCCACCTATGTGGGAGACCCAGATGGAGTTCTGCGCTCCTGGCTTTTACCATGGCAGCCATATGGAGAGACTGAATCAGCAAATGTGAAATCTCTTCTTTCTCTTTCTTTTCAAAATAATAAATATATAAATAAATAATAAATCTTTAAAAAATTAGAGAAGACTATATATATGAGTTTTGTAACTTTAAAACATAAATACTGTATTTATAGGAGCTTTGTAACTTTAAATTAGTTCATATTTTATATTTATTTGATACACTCAGACAGGCAGAGTGGACAGAGAGAGAGACAGAGAGAGAAAGGTCTTCCTTTGCCGTTGGTTCACCCTCCAATGGCCGCCGCTGCAGCCGGCGCACCGCGCTGATCCGATGGCAGGAGCCAGGAGCCAGGTGCTTTTCCTGGTCTCCCATGGGGTGCAGGGCCCAAGCACCTGGGCCATCCTCCACTGCACTCCCTGGCCATAGCAGAGAGCTGGCCTGGAAGAGGGGCAACCGGGACAGAATCCGGCGCCCCGACCGGGACTAGAACCCGGTGTGCCGGCGCCGCAAGGTGGAGGATTAGCCTATTGAGCCACGGCGCCGGCCGGAGCTTTGTAACTTTAAACATAAATACTATATGTATATGAGCTTTGAAACTAAAACATAAATACATGAATAATGTAAAAATAATGAATCTATTTCATATAATGTATGATGAATAGTGAAATAATATACAAAAAAGAAAAGGTTGTGATAGACTGGTAGAATTTTTTCCATGTTTCAAAATTTTCTATACTATCTTTGCCATATCATTTCCATCAAGAAAAATATTTTTCTGTATCTTTTTTTTTGTTTTTTAAAGATTCATTTTATTTATTTGAAAGATGGAGTTACAGAGAGAGAGGTCTTCCATCCGCTGGCTCACCTCCTAGATGGCTACAATGGCAGGGAGATACGCCCATCCTAAGCCAGGAGCCAGGACCCTCCCATGCAGGGGCAGGGGCCCAAGGACTTGGGCCATCCGCCACTACTTTCCCAGGCCATAACAGAGAGCTGGACTGGAAGAGGAGCAACCGGGACTAGATCTGGCACCCATATGGGATGCCGGTACCGCAGGCAGAGGATTAACCTAGTGTGCCATGGCGCTGGCCCCTGGGCTTTCTTTTCTTAAGGTTTATCTCCCCTCCCCTCCCCTCCCCTCCTCTTTCTTTCTTTCTTTCTTTCTTTCTTTCTTTCTTTCTTTCTTTCTTTCTTTCTTTCTTTCTTTCTTTCTTTCTCTTTCTTTCTCTCTCTCTTTCTTTCTCTCTCTCTTTCTTTCTCTCTCTCTTTCTTTCTCTCTCTCTTTCTTTCTCTCTTTCTTTCTCTCTTTCTTTCTCTCTTTCTTTCTCTCTTTCTTTCTCTCTTTCTTTCTCTCTTTCTTTCTCTCTTTCTTTCTCTCTTTCTTTCTCTCTTTCTTTCTCTCTTTCTTTCTCTCTTTCTTTCTCTCTTTCTTTCTCTCTTTCTTTCTTTCTTTCTTTCTTTCTTTCTTTCTTTCACAGGCAGAGAGGACAGTGAGAGAGAGAGACAGAGAGAAAGGTCTTCCTTTGCCGTTGGTTCATCCTCCAATGGCCACTGCGGCTGGCGCACTGCAGCCGGCGCACCATGCTGATCCGATGGCAGGAGCCAGGTACTTATCCTGGTCTCCCATGGGGTGCAGGGCCCAAGCACTTGGGCCATCCTCCACTGCACTCCCTGGCCACAGCAGAGAGCCGGCCTGGAAGAGGGACAACCGGGACAGAATCCGGCGCCCCGACCGGGACTAGAACCCAGTGTGCTGGTGCCGCAAGGTGGAGGATTAGCCTAGTGAGCCGCGGCGCCGGCCTATTTATTTATTTGAAAGGCAAAGTGAAAGAGATCCTCCATCTGCTGACTCACTCCTCAAATGCCTGAAGCAGCCAGAGCTGGGTCAGGCTGAAGCCAGGAGCCAGGAACTCCATCTGGGTTTCCCACATGGGTGGCAGGAACCATTTTCTGCTGCATTCCAGGTGCATTACAGGGAGCTGGATCAGCAACAGAATAGCTGGGACTTGAATCAGCACTTCAATACAGGATGTAGGCTTGCCAAGCAGCAGCTTAACCTGCCGTGCCATGTCTACTCCTGTTGTACCTGAGGGAGTGCAAACAGAGGAGCACCACACATTGATAAAATCCGATGGGTCCTTTATTGTCGGTGGTGGAGTAGGCTCATGCCCTAAAGAACTCTTGACTCCAAAGCCCAATGGAACAGGGTTTATAAAGGCAAAAACCATAAAAACAGGAGGGGGAATACATGGTTACTGGGGTCAAGCTAACCTAAATCCTGTGCTAAACTAATATCAATTATAATCTTAAATTAATACCAGTTACAATCTTCACAGTTTTAATTATAATCTTGACATTAATCCAGGTATTGGCCTAAGTCATATACAGGACATAGACAAATCACAATCTTATCAGTAACCCAGGTACAGCCTGTTTTTGAACTTGAGCTGTCCTGCTAAGGGGATTTCTATGCTTTGCCAAGTGTGATAGTGTTTGCTAAGTGTGATGTAGTGGTTACCTATGACTTTATTTATTTATTTATTTTTTGACAGGCAGAGTGGACAGTGAGAGAGAGAGACAGAGAGAAAGGTCTTCCTTTGCCGTTGGGTCACCCTCCAATGGCCACCGCAGTGGGTGCATTGCGCTGATCTGAAGGCAGGAGCCAGGTGCTTCTCCTGGTCTCCCATGCGGGTGCAGGGCCCAAGCACTTGGGCCATCCTCCACTGCACTCCTGGGCCATAGCAGAGAGCTGGCCTGGAAGAGGGGCAACCGGGACAGAATCCGGCACCCCGACCGGGACTAGGACCCGGTGTGCTGGCACCACAAGGCGGAGGATTAGCCTATTGAGCCACGGCACTGGCTGGTTACCTATAACTTTAAGTAACCCTTTTGTTTGACTACAGCACATCCTATAAATGTTATCATTTTCTAAGGATGTCATAATGTGGAAAAAAAACTGAGAAGTATGAAGGCTTAAAGTCTAACGTAGGGGTGGCATTGTGGTGTATCAAATAAGGCCACTGCCTGTAGCGCCGGCATCCCATATGGGTGGCCATTTGAGTCCACTTCCTATCCAGCTCTCTGCGATGGACTGGGAAAGCAGTGGAATATGGCCCAAGTACTTGGGCCCCTGCGCCAATGCCGGAGACCTGGAAGAAGCTCCTAGCTCCTGGCTTCAGCCTGACTCCACCTTAGCCATTGCAGCCACCTGGGGAGTGAACCAGTACATGGAAGATCCCTCTCTGTCCCCCTCTCTCTCTCCATAGCTCTGACTTTCAAATAAATAAATAAATAAATCTTTTTTTAAAAAGTCTATCTTAGGGGCTGGTGCCGTGGTGCAGTAGGTTAATCCTCCGCCTATGGCGCCGGCATCCCATAAGGGCACCGGTTCGAGACCCGGCTGCTCCACTTCCAATCCAGCTCTCTGCTATGGCCTGGGAAAGCAGTAGAAGATGGCTCAAGTCCTTGGGCCCCTGCACCCATGTGGGAGACCTGGAAGAAGCTCCTGGCTCCTGGTTTCGGATTGGTGCAGCTCCAGCCATTGCGGGCCATTTGGGGAGTGAACCAACGGAAGGAAGACCTTTCTCTCTTTCTCTCTCACTGTCTGTAACTCTAACTCTCAAATAAAATAAATAAAATCTTAAAAAAAATACTACCTATTAAAAAAAGTCTATCTTAAATAGCTTCTTCATATATCCTTAAACTTTCAGAGTAATTCTGGTAGACTCTCAATGTAGTCAAGCTGGACATTTTCATACTGAAATACAGATCTCTGGGCTTTTCTACAGAGTACAGCTGCTACCTTAAACATAAACCCTTTGAGGAAGCTGATTTTTTTCATACAGTTGTTTGTATTTTTTTTTTTTGACAGGCAGAGTGGACAGTGAGAGAGAGACAGAGAGAAAGGACAGTTGTTTGTATTTAATGGCATGCATTTTGGTCCTCTTTTACAGAAGGGAATACTGAACACCCCACATAGCTTAAACAATTAATCAATTTATAGAAAAAACTGTTTTACTGATGCTGCCACTCACACTACCCTCCTTCCTCCGGTGGATTATTTCGAAGCCTATTCCGACTTCCTATCATTTATCCATAAGTACTTCAGCAGGTGTCTCTGCATGTAAATGATACTGTTCAAAAACACATAAGCAAGACACTGCTGGTTCCTGGTCTTGTGATGCTGGCTCAGATTTCTGATATCAGGATTTCCTCAGGAAGCTATATATTAGGCACAGGGGAGTGTATAAACATATATTCATATTTTCTCTCTCTCTCTCTGTTACTTCCTTACATATTAAACCACTCAAAGAAAGGCTCTCAAGAAAATCAGACACAGAGTAGTTTGAATACTTTGAATTGTAACAGGATTACTGATCAAGGATTTTAGAGACGGCTCAGGGAAGAGATGGAGAAAAGTGACACACAAAACCCTCCACTTCTCAGTGGTGACTGACTTTCACTCACCCTATTGCTTGGTGTGCAACAGCTCAGTATTACAGTTACTGTACATGAAGTAACTCACATAGCTGCATATAAATAAATGCAATGAAGCTAGCTTAATTCAGAAAATGTCTATTAGTGATCCTTACCTTTTGCTGGATTGAGGTTCTGAGCTATAAATCCTCTTAGTTCTGCATTTGTGGAAGTCAAACCAACCTGAAAATAGTTTAAAAAATTAAAAATAGGACCTTAAGTGTTATGAGATCACTTAATAATCTATTTTATTTGCCTCACACTAGAAGTATGTATCAAACATCCATATATCCACATCAAAAAGAATTTTATTAACCATAGGAGTGTTTTTTAATGTTGCGCCGCTGTTTGAAATGGGAAAAATATGAATTGTCCAGATAAAGATAAAAACAAACTCAGTAACATTCTTAGGAGAATAACTGAGATCTATAGATTTACTAATGGTTTTTAGAAAGCAAGTAATATGGCAGCGAAGTTGTCAGAAGACTTGTCAAAATTCCACCCTCACTGCTGCCCTTAATTTCCTCTGTTCTTAGGTACTATCTGCAATGCTTTTTATACTATGACATGGACAGGATCAAAGAAAGACCATTAGTACCACAGTGCAGAGGTGAAATGCACTGATCTCAGGTTCAGCTGCTTGGGTTCACATACGGCTCATAAGGCTACCAAAGGGTATGGCGTTCCCCAATCATGCAATCTCCTCACCTGTAAACTGGAGAGTGAAACCAGTACTTACCAATCCAGGTTGCTGACACATTAAATAAGATCATTTATGTAAAGCATATGGCATGGTGCTTGGCATATGGTGCTCAATCCATGTTAACATTCATTACTGTTAGTATTGTATCCGAGGGAATACTATAGAGAGTGCTCGTAAATTCAACTCTAGATGATTTAACTACTGTAATGTCCACTGAACCACTCAGCATCACAGGGGTGAATATGGTAGTATCATCAAACAAGTTTTTAAAAATTTGTTACAGGGACTGGCATTGTGGCATATAGGGAAAAGCCCCCACCAGCAACACCAGCATCCCGCATGCATGCCGGTTCAAGTCCCAGCTGCTCCACTTCTGATCCAGCTCCCTGTTAATAGCTGGGAAAAGCAGTGGAGGATGACCTAAATGTCTGGGCCCCTGCCACCTACGTCAGAGACCCAGATGAAACTCCTAGTTCCTGGCTTTGGCCTGGCACAGCCTCAGCCATTGTGGCCACTTGGGGAGTGAACCAGCAGATGAAAGATCTCTCTGTCTCTCACTTTCTCTCTGTGATTCTAACTTTCAAACAAATAAATAAACCTTTAAAAAATTTGTTATAGAGGCTGGAGAAAGAAAAAAAAATCTCCATTTTTGAAAACTTAGTACAAAGCAAACATCCAATAAATGGCTCTATTATTACTAGTATATTATATTATTGGTTTAAGCATTGAAGACTTGTAATCTTGAAACGAGTTTATGACATTAAACAAACTTTAGTATTACAAGTTTGTAGTTTAATACTTCAAACATTTTTTCAAGGTGCTACCACAATGAAAGGATATTTCTAAACAGTTTTACTGAGTTATCATTGACATACAAAATTATACATATTTAAGGTACACAACTTGATGTTTTGATATATGTATACATTGTGAAATGATTACTACAATCAAGCTAACTGACATATCCACTACCTCTATAAAGCTACTTTATCACAGTGTTATGTGTATGTTGGGAAGATTCAATTTAAAATCTATACTAGGGGGTCGGTGCTGTGGAGAAGTGAGTAAAGCTGCAGCCTGCAGTGCTAGCATCCCATATGGGCACCAGTTCGAATCCCAGCTGCTCCTCTTCTGATCCAACTCTCTGCTATGGCCTGGGAAAGCAGCAGAAGGTAGCTCAAGTCTTTGGGCCCCTGCACTCATGTGGGAGACCCAGAAGAAGCTCCTGGCTCCTAGCTTCGGAATGGCACAGCTCCAGCCGTTGTGGTCAATTGGGGATTGAACCAGCGGATGAACCTCTCTCTCTCTCTCTCTCTCTCTCTCTCTCTGTAACTCTGCCTTTCAAATAAATAAATAAATCTTAAAAAAAAAAAAAAAGATCTATACTACATGTGAGTACTTAGCCTAGCAGATGAGATGCCTGCATCCCACAAAAGAATGCCTGGGTTCCACACTCAGCTCTGGCTCCTGACTCTAGCTTCCTGCTGATGTGATGGCTCCATTAACTGAGTCCCTGTCATCCATGTGGGATCCACCTCCTGGCTTCAGCACAGCCCAGTTCCAGCCACTGTGGGCATATGGGGAGTGAAGCCATTAGGACCTCTCTTTTTTTCTGTCACTCAAATAAGTAATATTTTAAAAATATTGTACTCTCACCAAATCACAAGTATTCAATACGGTATTATTAACTACCATTACAATGCTGTACATCAGATCTCTAGCAATTGGAAAGGATTTTAAATGCAACTGTACATTGTATTATTATTTTTTTAAAGATTTATTTATTTATTTGAAAGTCAGAGTTACACAGAGAGAGGAGAGGCAGAGAGAGAGACAGAGGTCTTCCATCCGCTGGTTCACTCCCCAGATGGCTACAACAGCCAGAGCTGTGCCGATCTGAAGCCAGGAGCCAGGAGCTTCCTCCAGGTCTCTCACTTGGGTGCAGGGCCCATGGACTTGGGCCATCTTCTACTGCTTTCCCAGGCCATAGCAGAGAGCTGGATCAGAAGTGGAGCAGCCGGGACTCGAACCGGCGTCCATATGGGATACCGGCGCTTCAGACCAGGGCGTTAACCTGCTGCACCACAGCACCAGCCCCTGTTGTATTATTTTTAAAAATCATTCACAGATTTAACATTATGTAATTGTACTTCAGGGAAAAGGGATTTAAAAGGTAAGTTTATTTTGGTGCAAAACATTTTTGAAACCCATGCCTATATTCTTCATAGACTCATATGATACTTTACAATTTTATAAGGTTATAACCTTATTAGTTGGATAACTCAAATATACTAACTGCTCACTTAATGGACGCCAGTTCAAGTCTCAGCTGCTCCCCTTTCAATTCAGCTCTCTGCTGTGGCCTGGCAAAGCAGTGGAAGATGGCCCAAGTCCTTGGGCCTCTGGACCTGTGTGGGAGACCAGTAAGAAGCACCTGGTTCCTGGCTTCAGATTAGATCAGCTCTGGCCATTGCAATCAATGGGGAATGAACCAGTGGATGGAAGACCTTTCTCTCTCTCACATCCACCTCTCTGTTCAAATAAATAAATAAATCTTTAAAAAAACAAACAAAAAACACAAAAAAGTATATAACCAGAAGTATGTGCATACAGTTCACATCATAGAAAGTAATTCTGAGGCAAATCTGTATCTGACATTGAGTACCAAATTTTACAGCAGCAGTCGAGTCTGAGATACCCAGAGGACAGTTTCTTAATTCAACACAGCCAACAATGTCCAGACTTAATTTTGTCTAGCTTCTTGAAAGCATTCAGTTAGAAGTAAAGTTAATCCTTTGCAACAAAATTTGCAGTAAGTAACTACACGCATGGCCTAGCTTCCCAGAGTTGCTCTCAAATATGAATGTTGAATATTCAATTTGCTGAAAATCTTTTGAAGAGTTCACTGTGGCATTATTAACATATTCCCCCACCAGACTCCTCTTATTTAAGCTCTTCCTCTCTAACAAGGAAAAGGCAAAAATTTTGTTGATGTTCTACTTTTAAAACAAAGCAAAGGCGGTAAAGATAGCCTTTAATATAGGCCATGCTTGAGCCAATGGGACCATTTGGTACATGTATTCTGATAACTCCAAAAGGATCCATTCGCATATTTTTGTTACTATACAACAGCAACGGCTAAAACCACACAGTCACAGTAGAGTTCACAGTTACTGGGTTCCTGTCATGCATAAACACCTGCCCTTGATGTCCAACTTCTGCAGATGAAGCAGCAAGCTAATTTGGAAACTTTTTAAGCAGCTGTACACCTGCACCTAAATAACCAACAAATTATATTCTAACTGTATGCTAATTTTAGTCTCAGAAACGGAAAGTTGTGTAAAACATACATGTAGCTTATATAAATACTATAACATATACTTAATTAAAATTCAAAAATCCATATATCTGCTCTCAGAAACACTTTGCAATTTATAGACTCAGAAAAAAGTACATTAAGAGTAGATGAAATTGATCAGGAAACGCATTTCACAGTAGCTATTCTTTCCTATTCCACCTATTCAAAAAGTACCTATATTTTACTGAGAAAGAAAAAAGATGAATTCGTATGTCATACAATTTTTCTATTTTTTGCCTAATCGGGTACGGATAAATTCTTCTATCTGGGTCTGGGTGTTGTTCTATAGTTATGCAGCCTTATTGACAGGCAGAGTGGATAGTGAGAGAGAGACAGAGAGAAAGGTCTTCCTTTTGCCATTGATTCACCCTCCAATGGCAGCCACAGTTGGCGTGCTGCAGCCGGCGCACCATGCTGTTCTGAAGGCAGGAGCAAGGTGCTTCTCCTGGTCTCCCATGCGGGTGCAGGGCCCAAGCACTTGGGCCATCCTCCACTGCACTCCCTGGCCACAGCAGAGAGCTGGCCTGGAAGAGGGGCAACCAGGACAGAATCCGGCACCCCGACCGGGACTAGAACCTGGTGTGCTGGCGCCGCTAGGTGGAGGATTAGCCTATTGATCCGCGGCGCCAGCCCTGGGTGTTGTTCTTAAAAAGGCTTTTTTTTTTTTTTTTTTTAATGGAACAGCCATTTGGTGCCATGCTTAAGATGACAATTGGACATAATAGGGCCTGGGTTCAATGATCAGTTGTCGCTCCCTGTCTTCGTGGAGGAACGACACAGGACCCTGCGCTGTTCTTTTGTCTGCTCGGCCCTCCCCGGGTTTGCTGCTGGTTCTTCCCGGGTTGGCTACCGACCCTTCCACCTCCGTGGAAGGGCGGTTCCCCCTGCCACTTTCCCCACTTCCGCGGGGGAGCGGCACACCACCGGCAGGCTCTCTCGGGGGCTGCACAGGTGTTCCTTCAGATAGATGTTCCTCTTAGATGTTCCTGGTGCATGTTGTCTCTCTCCTCCTTTATAGTCCTCTTCCACCAATCCCAACTCTGCTACCCACACGCCGAGTACGCTGCTCTCCTGCAATCAGGAGCAGGTCCTGCTGTTTATTGGTTGAACTGGAGGCAGCTG